AAACACTACACTATCCAGCTCTCTGTGACTCTTGCCCAATTCAAATTCTGATCACTGAGAAGACAGAGAACATAGTTCAAGCAGGATTGTATGGCTTGGCTACCTCAGTTGCAAGCCCAGAAAATCACCAGCACGGCAGCAACATGAAAAAGTTATGTTTCTTAAAAGACATGTCAAAAATCACAGATAAATTCTAGAAACATTAAAACAATCATCAAGTGTAATTCATAATATTATAGAATTTATAATATTATACAAATATCTCTAAAATATAACAATGAGCCACCACTCCCAAACACCCCCATCCAGGCCTTTCACCAAGCAAACTCACGGAAAGCAGGTCTTATGCACAGCGTTGAGAACGTTCAGAGGCAACAACACCTGGTCTAACTCTCAGCAGGTGAAAGCTCAGGGTTCTAGAGTATTACCTACATTCACTGTTGCCCACTTAGATGATAAGCAAACTCCCTTCATCTTACAGCTCAATTAATACCCACCTGCAGAAACTAGAAAGAGATGGCACAGCCGGCTTTTGTAACAGTAGAGGAACAAATGGAAGAAAAAGCAGAGAGAAATTCAGCAAGGACATTCCACCCCACAAAATGCGTAACTCACAAATATGAAAACAAACATTTCTTCAAGGACTGGAGAGCCCAGGTTGTCCTTGGCACCCTGGACAGTAAATCACTGGCGTTCTCCAGGAAGTGGGGCAGAGTTAAGTCTCTCGGCCCCTTGAGCTACACTTTCTAACAGGCCGGCTCCAGAAGTGAGTGTTTACACACTACAAAAGTCACAGGACCAGGCAGCAGCACGGCTCAAGCTAATATCACTTGGGTGATAAGCCATTTGTCCTTCAAAATCAGAACAGTCAGGGTCAAAATTTCCTAAGACTTTAGCATTATTTTGTTTTGCTCTCCTGTTAGAGCTTCACGCCCTGGGAAGGTTACACCTGTGTTCCAGAATGTGACACTTAAACTATCCCTAGCTCAGGACAGAGGAAAACAGTCCTTCAGGGCAAGTCCTTCTAGTTCTCAACCTGCAGAAGCCATTTGTAAAGCAGGGCTTTAAAACTGTTTTCCACAGAAAACCACTGGTCTGAATTCAGTACCTGTTTTACAGCCAGACTTGAACTGTTGTAACCAGTATTATGGGATTATTTGTTTTCATGTTTTAAATTTGTATAAGAATACACAATTTCCTTTTTTTCCACCTGGCCCAGAATTATACCGTCATAGCCAATCTGTAGCAGTAAAATAAAGTGTCACGTAATGGGTGGAAAAATATTCCAATGTGTTTTCTCTAACTTTGAAAAACACCAAGCGTAAAGAAAAATAAATGTTATTATATTTCCTAGGCATTCCTAAAATTTCTGACCTTTTGACCCTAGTTACTTGTTTATTATTCTACTGTCCTTTAATGAGAATGTTCACAAATTGTGTTAATTAGTTCTGTATCAGCTGCTATTTAAACCTTTTGTCTTTATAATTTCCTAAAACTATTCTTCATATAAATGACTCATGGTTTTTAGAAGTTTGAGGAATTCCTGCTTAAAGTGACCTGCTTAAAGATGAAACCTGCCAAATACTTTGAAAGGACCCCACCCAGGCCTGTTCCTTCCTCCTTGTTTGCAAGAGATCTTCCAGGAACTGGGGAAATATCTTTGAGCTCTGAACTGATCCTGCTTTATGCTGGCTGTGCATTCTTCTGCATCTTGCAAGAAGCTAATCATAGCACCTAGTATAACATCAATCCTGTAACGACCCTTGAGAAGCTCAGGTGCTCCTCTTTGGAAACAAGTTGCTTGTCAATCAGGAAATGGTATTATTTTGTAACTCCTCACCCAGTCTATTTGCTGGTCTTTCCACACACAAAAAAAGTAGAACCTCATAAAACAGTAAATCCCTATAGCAACTGTAAGGAGAGGTATGATAAACAAGAAAATCTACATATGTAGCAAGGAAATTACAGACAGACTCATAAAGGGAAATTAATAACTTTCAACCATAAAGCTTATAATTGTGATTTATGTTAAACATGGTCACCCAGCTATGGCATGTACAACAGAGGGAAAAAATACCATTTAAGCAGATCAAAAAGAAGAATTTCTTTATAAAACCAAATGCCCCAAACTATCACAGCCCTATTATAAGAGCTAACTCTTGCCTCTGTGGTTATTTTTCTGAATTATTTCATAGGTTTCACTGTCTTGTGTCATTAAACGTTAAACGATGTCTCTATCAGTTATAGTAATTAGGAGATAAAATAACTGCTGATCCATCTGTTTCTACAAAAGTGCAATTTATACTGGTCATGGTAGCACATGTCTATTATCCCAGCATTCTGGGAGACTGAGGCAGGAGGATCACCAGTTCAAACTTAACCCAGGCAACTTAGCAACTCAGGAGGATCCTGTCTCCAAAAAGAAAAAAGGCTGGGGATATAGTCTGAGATTTAATCCCCACCTCTACCAAAAAATAAAATAAAAATTTTAAAAGGCTAATTTATAAAAAGAAATTTTTCATGCAAGGTAAGGCTGAGTCTGGAAATAAAATATAGCCAGCAATGTAGTTAAAAACACCACACATTGATGCCTATGTACTTGATTAAAAGTTAAACAAAGTGAGCAACAAGATTCTGAGTAGAAACTGGAAAGGTGAATATACTCCTTCCACAATCTGTGTGGACACCAGAACAACGGACCTAGTACTTTTATTCCAGTCCGCAGGAATTGTATCATTATTTGAAACACAAGCAGAACACAATATTGCTCAGCATGTAGCTAAAGAAGGTAAAGGATGAAAGAAGTCATAACACAACTTGTGCTCTAAAAGGGAAAAATTTCAATTAACATCACATTGAGGCTCTTGGGCTTCTTCTTTATCTTTCTCGGACTTCAACTGTACTTATGAGCATCTTTCATCTCGTTTGCTTCCCTTGACAGATGGCACTGGGCAGCTGTCCCCGTAGCACGCAGTGTCACTACTCTACACTATCTGCTAAGAGAAAGTAAGTGTGCTTCTTGGTTTGTAGAGAATGTGACCTGGAATAGCCCGAATACAAATAGGCAGATGCCGCTACTCACCCTGAGGGGGCGGCCTGGCCAGTCCCCCAAGTCTTTTAGAGCAACGTGTAAACAGCTCAATGCATGTGATGTTTTGCAAACTTAAATCCTTATTCTGTCACGAGGTGGGCACATGATGACAGCTGTGAGGCCCTCTGCTTTGAGCCTCATGCCTGTTGTCCCTCTGCAGGGGGCTCCACCTAAAGGTCGCTGAGTGCCTAAGAAAGATGGAGCTTCCTTTTGAAGCCTCCGACATTTTAGCCCTCCCAGGGCTCAGACATTCTGTGTGTGTTCTCCATCACCGCTGTCCCTTGATGAGGAAGAGCAAGGCCCTTTTATCATTTGACCTGGCTAATGACTTGTGTGTTCTGTGCTAAAACACGGAAGGTTCGGGAGGTTTCCATGTGAGCGATGGTGGCAGTAGCACTTTGCTCCTTCAGACTCTAAGGCAGTGGTGGCTCCCCTACGGCACATGTGCCACAGCTGGGCTATCTGTATCACTGGAAAGCTCTAAAAGGTTTATCATCGCTGCTCTAATGCCTGTGGCTTGGAAATCTTTGAAAGTCTGATCCTCAGAGATTTACTCAACACACAAAGATATTTTCTTAATAGCCAAAGATCAATGGCGAGTTTCAATGAAGAAAGTATTTTAAGGAGGGTTTTAAAAGGCAAAAAGACAATTACTTTATAAAGGGTAGGACTCTTTCCAGAGGAGAAAAGACCACTAGAAATGATGCAAAGCTTGAGAAGAAACCTGTACTTGCTGTACCTAACATTTACTGAGCTCTAGTGTTCTTGCTGTATGCTTGTCACAGATGGTCTCATTTAATATTCACAATGGCCTTTTCAGGCAGGCATGACAAACACCCGCATTTTAAAGACGAGACAAGGATGTTTAGACAAGTCAAAAAAGGTGTGCAAAGCCCCACTGCTAGGATCTGAAGTCCTTTGCTGAACCAAGTATAATTCTGATGTAACATTGCGGGTCTGGAACCCAAGTTGGTAGTAGCAAAACATTGTGCCAGAACTTCCAGCCAGCTCTATAAAGGGAGGCGTTAGGAAAAGAGGATCAACCTAAAGACAGCTGGAGTCAGAACCCTGAAAGGAGACATACAAATAATGTGAACTGAATTATGATGGTTTACCGCCCACAGAACCTAGGGTACAGAGAAGCAGAGAAAGGAAAGGGGACAATTGGGTACACGACCACGTGGGTACGGTGCTCAAGGAACCCAATTACTAGGTAATGTGTCTAAGTGCCAACCAAATACCACTGCAGAAAAATCCCTCCACTGTTCCACCATAAACCTTTCCAGGTTGCTGTCTAAATTTATGGACTAGTTCATAGGATTAACACTATCACTGTCTGCACGCAAAGATATGCTACCGAGTGACTCTCATCCTTAGAATGTATGCTTAGCACTGTGTGTTGGTGGGAGTTCTGTCCTACACCTTCTCCCTCAACCATTTCCTCAGAGCAATTATAACAATTTATTATTTTCAGTTTCCAATGAGAAATGCTGACTTTAGTGCACTCAGATGTAATTAGACACATTCATCAACTAACCCTGGATTTCGTGGCTTTTATTCCTTCTAAGAAAAGAAGCAACTATGGTTTTACAGGTTGTTAAACTAATGATTTGTTCTTCCAACACAAGTGCATCATGGGAAAAAGAAAACACTTAGCAACTGCACCATTTGCTCCCAGAATAACCTTCCTTTGGACTCAACATCAGGGACACGTGATGACCATGTCAGAACAATCACCCCTCTCCCTTTGGTATTTTAAAGTGACTCACCAAAGATGTCAGAATAAGATTAGAAAAATATTTATTGCTCTGTTGACTGCAGATCGAGAGCTTTCTTTTCTTTGTTTCTTTAATTATTTTTTTACCTTATGACAGTTTTTACAAGCTAGGCAGAGAGAGTGGCTACTCACATTCTCCTTGTCAGGAATCCCTAGAGGAGAAAAAAGAGACAGAGAGAGGCCATGAATCATTTGATCAGCTTGTACAGTGGAACTGAAATCCTTTAATGAACAAAGCCAAGTAACATTTTGGTCTTTTCCATACAAACTTATATAATGCTGCTGAGAAAAGCAGCAGCACTGATCAGAATCTGCGACATAAATAAATCAGTGAATAAGGAGTAGGACTAAGTGCCCAGGCAACAAAACCCAGGCTTCTTTTGCTTCTCTACCATGTGCTTTACTTTCCCAGAGATAAAAATCCATCATCGGCTCATTTGCAACATGTGAGCAACTAATTCCACTGACTTGAGCCCCGGAGCACTCAGAATCGTGGACAGACGCATCAATGCTTTAGCTTCCCATACTGCGTCCTTCTGTTGCAAACAAGCTCACACCTTTCTAGAGATTCCAACCTAGGGGTAACCAGGGCCTAAAATCCACCAGAACACGAGGCCCATTTTGAACAACACACTTCCTGCTGCCCCAAATCAGGCCGCGTGTGGAGGGAACTGTTCCAGGGAGATCTCGGTTTTCTCAGCTGAAAAGTTAACTCTCCTTCCATTGATTCATTTGTTCACTCAATTATCAACAGGTCATCACGGCCATCTACCACAGGCAGGCACCATTCCCACCACTTCCCCTGGGGCTGGGACCCTGACCAGTGGTTGGCCCCACCGGAAGGTCACAGTTTCAGCAGAGCTCAGTGCACCCAGGGCAGGCACCAGTGCTCTTATGTTGAGGAAAGACTGACACAGATTTCCCCCTCAAAATGGCTGAACTTATTTGCTTGATCAGTAATGGTCCTGGCAAAAACTAGTTAACCAACATCCGGGCATTTGTAATGAAATATGAGTTATAAAAGCCCATGGCGTCTTGATGGAATGATAAAGAAACCTTCAACACTGCTAGCAAATATAAAATGAATATAGTATGTCTGACAGGACATACTGCAGTATGAATATAGTATGAGTACAGTATGAATATAGTATATGAATATAGTATGAATATAGTATGTCTGACAGGACAGCAAGGAATTATAGGTGACATTAAGGAAAATCACACCTAGTTATTAGATTTGGTAGTGGTATTATGGTTGTACATGGAAACTTTTAATTATCAGAAATATCTCTTGAAGTATTTGGAGTGGAATGAATGCATATAAGTGGTTAAAAGAAGGAACTATGGCAAAATATTAAACTACATATTACTTTATTAATAGTGGACAAATACTAAGTACAAAAACATTCATGTTAATTCAATCCTTTCCAAATTAGGAATATTTTAAACTTCTCAAAAGACAAAAAAAATTTCCTAGAAAACAGGAGCCAGGGAGACCAAAGGCGTGAAAGTTGAGTCAAAAGTTCACAGCCAGCTGAGTCATTTCTGCTATCAGATCAAGAAGGATGAGGCTGGGGCTGGGGATTTAGCTCAGCGGCAAAGCGCCTGCCTGGCAAGCGCAAGGTCGTGAGTTCAGTTCCCGGTACCAGAGAAAAACAAAAAACAAACAAAAAAAAAAAAAACAAAAAAACCAAGAAGGACGAGGCTGCAGAGGGATCAGAAATGAAAGCCCAGGAGCGCTGCAGAGGAAAGCACAGGGGCCAGGCGGGGACGAGGGAGTCGCCTCAGTGAGTGAGGAGGGGGAAAATGGTTAAGGTTTACAGCCTTGACTAGAGGAGGACAGAGAAATTGCTGGAGATGGGCCTTTTGGGAGGAGGGACAGGTTTTGTGGAAATCCGCACGTGCTCCCTTCTCCACATCTGGGACTGGCAGGACATCCGGGCACAGAGGGCCAGCCTAGTTGTCGGTGGGACCCAACAGAAGTGCCGGCTCAGGAAGCATGTGTGTCAGTCACAAGACAGCAGGCATTGTCGAGGGAAAGTATAAACAAAAAGAAAAAAGCTGCCAAGTTCAGATTCTTGGGTATTACCTAAATTTTTGAGGAAGGAGCAGAAACTGTGAAAGACAAAAATCCAGGCAGTCAGAGAGAAGTAAGGAAATCAGGATTTGCAGTGGAGCCCTGGGGACCAAGGGACAATGGACTCAAAAAGTTATTCCAGTCATAAGAATGGGGAACAGGAATGACGGGGTCTGTTAGTGGTTGGTCCCTGGTAACTCTGGAGTGGCGCACTCAAGCAGTATGGGCCGGAAGCCAGACTTTGAGGGGTAGTGAGTGGTTACGGGGGAGGAAACAATGGCTGACACCATGAGGGTACTGGTGCCGTTCTGTATCCCTGGCAATTTGAGAATGATTTAATCTTCACAGCAACCTAGAAGGAAAAAGAAGCACGCACAGTCTAGGTATCTTGCCTGAGGTCACACAGCTAGGACATGGTGCAGCTGGGATTTTAACTCAGGCACTCCCGAGCCAGTTATCCTTACCTTAGCCTGGAGCAAAGAAACCAAGAACAGAGAGGAAAGGAAAGAAAGATGTATTCCTCCTTCCTATCCCTCCCATCCCCTCTGCAGGACAGAAGAGAAGAGGACAGGCACTGCGCAGAGGGTGTGAAACACGGGCGGAAGTCAAGACAGCTGCAGATCAAGTAGGGAGGAGGGGGTCCCTGGAGAGAGGGACAGGTCTGGGAGCGAGGGTGGGCCTTCAAGGAGCCTGGGAAGGTGTGAAGGAAGATGCTTAGACGGAAGCCCTGCCTGGCAGGGCACCGAAGGCAAAGGTATAACTTCAAATACTCCAGTGTTCTGTACATCCACATACATGCACACATGCGTGCGCTCCCTAAGCAAAGTCAGAGGTGCACACAGCAACTCCCAGCGACAGTAATGGTGCGACACTGAGGGTCCCGCCACATGGACTGAGGGGACACAGGCCTCGTGAGGTGCATGGACACCCGCTAGAAATGAGTACCACACAGAAAAACGTCCTTCCTCTCACCATCCACCAGAGGCAGGTGTCTTCTCCAGGCCTCTATTCAACGTGCACGGCATGCTGCTTTGCCTCCCACATGCCAGTGAAATGAGCGCTACAGTCAACCCGTCACCCTGCCGCGGTCACTGGTGTGGGCCAAGGGCACTAATATCAGCAAGGCCTTGGACTGGAAGAGGCCGTGGCTGAAGAAGGGTACATGACGACACGCGCTGCCCTGTCCTTGATGAACAGAGGGAACAGCGGCAAGGACGGGGCACTCGGGTGCTGCCTCGGTGTGACTGGGACAGACATGGTTCATGAATCCCATTTGCTTAAAGGGCACAGAAACAACCGCACTTCACTACAGAATGAAGCTCTTTGGAGAAAGTATTCCAAGTATGCGAAGTTCCACCTGGCACCAGCTTACGCCTCGCTCCACCAGCTAAGACCACAGAACAATACTATATTAACTGTTTCTTAAAATATCTCCAGTGTGAGCTGGCAGGTCTGTTTATGTTCTTCAGATTCTGGAGAATTTCTCTGTCAAGCTGGTGTAGGATGTATTTTTTTTCTAGCACATGAAAACACACACCACAAGACAAATTTTCAGATACAAAACGTTCACAGTTGTCACTTACTGTCATTGTTAGAGCCCGTTTCCATAACACCATAAGGAGGAGCCAGAAGTCCTGCCATATACTGCCGATATTTCTGAAAGACAAGATTGTAAACTCACAACAGATATTTACTCACTTTGAGCACTGGTTTGTTTACACGTTAAAAAGCAGAAACGCTGAGTGTCAGGAAGCATCTGAGCCTCGTATTTATAGAGCCATGAAAAGCGCTCTCTAGGACCTCTGGTCTAAAATAAAGATGTCAAATTCTAAACCAGGCTTCCCGGGTAGGGCTGAATGTGCCCCTTGCCCGGCTGGCAGTTTCTGCCTCAGCTGTCTCATTTCTGAATTCGTGGCCAAACCGTGTGGGCTTCCTACCCTCCCTCCACCCCTGCATCTCTCCCGGCCCCGGCAAACACGTGATCAGCTTTTTGTAGGGAGATGGCGCTGGCACTTGGTTTTGATAGACGCAGATACAAATAGATGCGCTGGCTCCTTAGTAGGTGAATGGCACTGAATCAGCCTCTTTCAAAGCAAAAAGAAATGCCGCTCTAGAAAAATGTCATTTTGAAAGAAGCTGATTCACTTCCATTTACCTACTTCCTTTTACGCTGCACACCTGCCTGCTACGTGACCTCCAAAGAACTTTTGGTATGTTGTCAAATAAAATAGCTTGCCTTAATTTAGAACCATTTGGATTCCCCTGAGTTGTACTCCCCCGCTGCCTTGCATTCCCCTGGCTTTTGGTCCAGACATGCTCAAAACCTGGGGCTCAGCGGCAGCTATTAGCCCCAAGAGTCTGTTGCTGGAGGGGGACAAGATTTGGTGAGTGCAAAACAACCTCATGCATCCAGCTAGAGATGGTGACATTTTCAAAGAACGGAAGGGGAACATGAGCCATCCTCTCTTCTCAGGTAATAAATGGAGCCTCTGCCTTTCAGGAGGAAAGCTGGGCAATTTTATCTCATGGTGTCATGTATATTTATGCTTCGTAATTATGGTAACACAGAAATGTTAAACAGCATCAAAAGAATCAACACTCTATAAAGTGCTCGTGGTTGCACGAACGTCAGCAGAAAAGACTTCATCTGTAGCAATGGGCAGCTGGCAAACTCGTACTATTTGGGCAACCATCTGGCCCATTTGGTAGATTTGAATGGTGTTTGTCATGTAACATTGACGCTTTCTCAAAAGAGCTTTCTAGTCAAGATGTGACTAGGGTTTTTAAAAATCTCTCTTTTTTCTTTTCATTTGGAGCAACTGTGCAAACACCTGCATGCAAACATTAAAATCATTATTTTCTCTACTCTGAGCTAACTAATCACTCAAACACACCCACAGGGCCAATACACCACCCTGCGTTCCTGCCATTTCCTTCGATAACTTCCCAGGGTCGAATTTCTTCTCCCCTATGACACATCACAGTAAGCACATTCTTGGGCAGCCGATTACTGTGGGGTCTAAAAAGACAGGCTGGGAGTGAGCAGATGAGGACTGGCTGAAGGTTGTGGCCCCCTCACAACCTTTGGAGTTATTCCTCTGCCTATCACTGACCCCCTATCAGGCTTCTAAAAGAAGCAATTCGTGATAAGTCAAAGGGGCCGTCTTACTGAGAAACTGTTTTGGACACCCTTTGTCTTGGGAATCTCAGGGTCAATTTCCATGAATTCCAAGGAAGACCCTTCCTGATTCCCAGATGAATGGGACATCACCTTCCTTCGAACCCCACAGCATGTGGTTTCTTCTCTCAAGGAGCACTGCGCCAAGCCCACTACCAGGAAGAGAAGAGGGCAGCCCTGGGGGAGGCTCTCTGGCTGGATTTCTGGACGTGTGCATTGAGCATCTACCACACGAGGGCGCTGTCCCCGGAACGCTCACCGCAGAGGGCCACTAGACAGAGTTCCTTGCACTTGCGAAGCATCTATTTTCCGAAGCACAAGGTATTTAATACAGCAGTTTCTCTCATCTGCATATCTATCTGCTTACTCCTTTCAGAATTACTTTGAAACAAACTCTAAATATCATGTCATTTAATCCATAACTTTCAGTAAGAATCTCTAAAGGATAAAGACTTTCTCAAACGCAATCACAGTATCGTTATCGCAGCTAAAAATGTAACATCCTGTTGGCCTTTAAATTTCTAATTGTTTCATAAATGTTACTGCTGAATTGAATTTAAAAGGTAGTTTATTTAACAAGACAACACTGGTTCCAGTATAACAGCTTTTGGCATAGTGGAGATTACAAAAACAGGGTTAAAATATTTATATCTGTAAACAATATAAACTTTACCTATAATGCTTTTTTTAAAAGCAGCTTTTAAGCACCGACGATATAGCTCAGTGGTGCAATTGTCAGTCTGGCAAGCACAAGGTCTTGAGTTCGATTCCTGGTACCACTCCCCCAAAAAAGCATTTTTTAATAAATAGCCACTAATCTGGGAAATTTCTTTCTTATGTACCACTCTGAAGTGTACTCTTTACAAATCAGGACGCAAGCAACTAAATGGAATAAAACCTATGTCAGAACGGCGATTCCTACATTTTTTGTATATTTCTTTATCACTGGGCAGTATTTCATCTTCCAAAGCAATTTAAAAAAGAAAATTCGATATGATAGGCTGCAAAACCTCACTCACAACAGAAAGACACATTAAAACTACAGTGCAAAGCCAGTTTTTGCCTGTCAGACTTGGCAACATTTCAGAAAGCTTGCTAACATATTGTTGATGAGAGAGGAGAAACAAATTTTGTCATATATTGCTTATGGACATGTAAAATGATCCAAACCCAGAGGAAGGCAGTTTGGAAATATTCATCAAAAATCTGAAATGCATGTTTCCTTTCACCAAATAGGGAACTTTCCATGGAGTAGACAAAATAAAATACTTGAATATATTCACAAGCACATGGATCTGTTTGATATAGCAAACAACAGCCAACAGAAAATAACCCAAATGTTGATAAATAGGGGGCGTTGTGTCACTTCCTGATAACTAGATGATGTTATTTCCTGATAAACACTAGATGTTGGAGTACTATGCAGCCTTAAAAAAGAATGAAGCAGTACCACCTGTTTGGAGATAGAATGATCAGTATTTTTTAAAATTAAAAAAAGCAAACAATAGCATGGTGCTTATGGTGTACTACCATCTTATGGGAATAAAGGTATAGACTTTCATTTGTGAATATGCATAGATTTGTCAGTGCATAAGCTATCTCTGGAATGATACACAAGAAAGAAATAACAAGGATTGCCTCTGGAACAGTGCTCTCAGTGGCTGAAGGGATTTAGTATTCACACTACATCCTTCAGGACATTTGAACCATGTGCTGCTGTTACCTTGGGGACTCCAGATAGTTAATGCTCTTCTGTGTTTTACATTTGTTATTAAACTTCTTTACTAACATTTGAAGAAAGGGTTCTACTACTAAAACAACAAGCAAACAAAACACAAGGAAAAACATAATGTAATGGGTGATACATTGTGTCAACTTGAGAACTGAGAAGTTTAGAAGCTTAACTAAGTGGCTCAGCAGGGGGGCTGGTATTCACTCTGTAAACATCCTGAGCTTCTGGAAGAGGAGGGCAGGGAGATGGTGTGGGCGGGTAGCCTGCATACAAAAGAGGAAAAGAGACTTGCTTCTACCCACCCCCTTTTGCTCCTGTTGCTCTGCTGTCTTCTGCCACCTTGAACTGTTGCCCCTGTGCCATGTGCCACCCTACCTTGGAGCCAGCTGACTGAAGACTAAAACTTCCACAAACTGTGAGCTAAAAAAAAAAACCTTTCCCCCCTTAATTTTGAGTGTCAGGTATTTTGTCTCGGCAATGAGAGAAAAGTAACTGACACACATACCAACAATCAAATCCAAAACAAAAAAATAAATCTATAAAGGAAGGATAGAATTGGGATCACTAAAGATCATATAAATGAGCACCTCTGTCTACCACCCCAGCTCCTCACTCATCCCCCAGGGCCGGCAGGTGATCAAGAAGCTTCCAACACAGCCCATCCCCGGCCAGGCAAGTCACCTCCACCTCTTCACAGTCACCTTGGATGTTCAAATATTCCTAAGCGAGACTCCAGAGCTCATGAAGAGACAAGTTGTTCCTACTGCATCTCGTACAAATTCCTGACCCTCACCCATAGAATCTGCGGGCATAATAAAATGGCTGTTGGCAGATGCCATGAAGTCTGGCACGGGAGCTACACGGTAACAGACACCCAGGACAGGCAGTGGCATCTGAAAGCGAGACAGTGACATGACAAAACCTAATGCAGGTGGCATTAACTTTGGCACTGGAAGGCAGTAGGAAGCCTGCCGGGGTTGGCAAGGACCGTGGATGAGTCTTATAGGACGGTGAGGGGGATATTATGGGAGACGGAGGACCTGACCTTGTTATGTAGTGATGGAGAGTTCAGCAAACTGATGACCTGCGGCACTGTGGAAAACAAAGTGTTCCCAGTGAACTGATGGGTCTGGGGAGGGAGACTTGCAGGACGAATGCTAACTGTCACCTGTTTCCTTTCAGCTATATATTTTAAGGTACAGCTACAGATGAGCCACCAAAGAAGTCATTTAGTTTGCAATCAGAATTTAGAGTAAATATCAGTTAGATTCCAGGATTTGTACAGTTCAAAAGTAAAACTATTTGTTATCTCCAATCTCTCAGCAAAAAATCTTCAAAGTAGAACAGGGCCTCATGACAGAGGTCAGATATAGGTCCCTGGCAGCAAAACAAAGCCTCAGAGTGCAGAGGCCAAGGGTGTGGCTGGGAAACCCTGTTTTAAGACTTTGGGAAGATTTAAGGTGGTACAGTACTTCCTAGATGCAGCAGCCTCAAAAAGCTTCAAAATAAAGAGCTGGCCAGGCATTGGTGGTGCATGCCTGTAGTCCCAGCACTCAGGAGGCTGATGCAGGCGGATCACCGTGAGTTTGAAGCTAGCCTGGGCTACACAGTGAGACCTTGTCTCAAAAAGAGAGAGAGAGAGAGAGAGAGAGAGAGAGAGAGAGAAAGAGAGAGAGAGAGAGAGTGAGAGAGAAGGGCTTAGGCTCAGATACATGTATGTATGGGCACAGGTTTTATCTAATGAAG